GGGTGGTGCGAACCGGGTCTTCCCAGAGTGCGACGCAGGCACCGCCCCGCGCAGGGCCCGCTGCCCCGTGTGCTCAAAGTGCAGCGCCCTGGGCCCGCTCCGGGGCTGTTGAGTCAGAACCCCCAGTGCTCGGCAGCTTGGGCACCGAGGCTCTGCGCAGGTGCCCGCGGGTGCAAGGGCTGGCTGGTCTGCGGGAGCGGCCGGGATAGCCCCCAGGCAGAACAGTGGTCCAGGGAACAAATACGCTCCGGGGAGGGGGGAAGTGGGTGAAAGGTGCACACTCGCAGTCGTAGAGTAAACTAGCCCTGGGAATGAGATGGGCGGCGCGCCGGCCAGTCAGGGACGCCGTGTTGCCCATTTGAACGCCGTTAAAAGAACAGCGCAGAAAGTCCTCATCACAAGGCAGAAACATCACGTCCCTGTGTCACACACTCAGCTCACGTGTAGGGTGGCGATTCTACATCCACTTTAAAAAGTGATCCCTCCTACTGTTTTTCAAGCACTTGGGGACACCTTTGACCCCCTAAGCCTAACCATGCCCAGCCTCGGGGAAGTGTCTGGCTGAGGACCTGGCAGGTAAGGGGAGGCATGGGGGCGCTGCTCCGTGGGCTGAACCTGGCGCTCCCTCCACACAGGGAGCCACCACAGGACTCGGGCACAGGGGCGATCCGTGAAGCCTGTTCTTACCACCCAGGAGAAATTGAAGTGGACACTTGCCTTGCTTCGGTTTTCTTTCAGGACGTTACAAAACCGGCTGAATGGAAAACTAATGCCGTCTGCATCCTGAGCCGAACTAAACCAGGCGAGAACGCCCAGTCCAACATGCGCCCCCGGGCCAGCGGAGCCTTTCCTGTGAGCTGCAAATCCCTGATGGAAACATTGCTTTGGTGGTAAAACTGATATTTGCAGACATGATGATCTTTGCAGAGAGGAGTGTGGGGGAGGACTTGCTTTTTCCCACTGTGAACAAGGCTGCTACCTTAGTAACTACTTTTTTATTCTGTGTCTTTGTTGGGGCAGCCAGGTCTCCTGAGGTCAGCACTCTCAGTTGTCACAGAATCCTCCTTTTGGACACCGCCCCTTCAGGATAGGAGACTCAGAAGGTAAGAAGCTTCCCTTTTCCTGTGACCTCTGGCCCTCTGTCCTGACAGTTGTATTTTTCAGACTCCATTATCCCTGCCTTTCTGCCCCGCAGTGGCCAAAGGCATGCTCTCCCTTGCTCTGCGCCCTCTGAGTTTGGCCTGGGTCCCCATGCACGTCTCCAACTAGGAGCAACAGGGCAGGTTTTTTTTTTTTTTTAAGATTTATTTATTCATACAGAACTGGGGTGCAAGGCAGAGTGCAGGGGGGCAGTGAGAGGGTGACACAAGCTATGCAACGTCTATCGTCTGACAGATTCCC